TTTTTTTTTTTTTTTTTTTTTTTTTTGGGGGGGGATGCTTGATATATTCTGTCATTCTCTGTGAGGGCAATAGACCTATGAACTTAGTGTAAAGTTGTAAACATGTCATGGTACGGGGGGGAATTAAGAGGTGGGGTGAGAGAGGTGAGTAGGGTGAGCGAGGTGCAGTGGCAGACCCATGATACAGTAAGGCTGATTTTTTAGTGTGCCTGGCCTGTGCTCTCGTTTTCTGTGCGGGATGATATACATATGCCACTGTACTTCGGCATAACGAAAAAAAAAGAAACGGCCACCGTATTAAAACGATGCCCGCCCGTTATTGGATGGCTCTCCTTCCAAGATATTCGTCCGCATCAACGGCCGCCGTGTGGCTCGCCTTCAGGGCGCTTTCTCTCGTTTAATGGTGCCCTGTGAACATTGGGGCACAAAACGACGGGCGGGGAAACGAAAAGAAAGAAAAGGGAGCACAAAACGACAGGCGGGAAAACGAAAAAAAGAAAAAGGGGGAGCAAAACGACGGGCGGGAAAACGAAAAAAAATAAAAGGGGGAACAAAACGACGCCTGCCCGCTATCAGATGGCTCTCCTTTCGAGATATTCGTCCGCATCAACGCCCGCCGTGTGCAGTGTAAACCTCTCATGGTAGGGGGGGAACTAAAAGGTGGGGTGAGCGAGGTGAGTAGGGTGAGTGGGTTTTGCTGTAGCAGGGCCATGATACAGTAAGGCTGACTTTTTAGTGTGCCTGGCGGGACCTGTGCTCTCGTTTTCTGTGCAGGATGATATACATATGCCGCTTTACTTCGGCATGGATCATCGTAGGGACAATTTCTTCGCCCTTTGGTCGCTCGAGTTTTCACACGACGGGAGAGAGATCATTGCAGGGAGTGGGAATGGCAACTGCTCGTTGCACATTTACGATCTAACGGCTCATAAGGCTACTCTCAGTGTCAATGCTCATTCGGTGAGGACCTTACCCTAGTTGCCGATCAATGTATGAAGGTTCAGTGAAGGTTCATTGAAACTTTATGGAAAAGGGACGGCGTTTTGCATTTGCTTTTCCTCCTGTTATGGGGTGAGGGCCACTGTACAATCCAGCGGTCCAAGTCACATCTCGATCGAGCTCGACTCCTCTTCCTGTGTGCATCAACCCCCAACTGTCCCAGCGTACCAACTGGTACACAGGGGAAGCCACGGGTCCATCCTGTGTTCGTGGTGGGTGGCACAGTCTTTGATTGGGTAGGTCTATCTGGATTTGGTGGACCCATCCAATTTTTGATTGGGTGGGTACACCCAGGCCCTCCCTGATGCCTGGCTGCTTGAGTGGTTGAAGCTGTGTTTATTTTTGTCTACAGTCTGTTGCGCAATTGTAATCCACGAGGATTGACTGAACCAAAAGGTGGGGCATGGTTATAATGTCTGGTCATTGTAGCAAAAGGTGGGGCATGATGATATATTTCTGCTCAGTGGTCATGATGGATTGTTATACTCATTGATGTGACAGATTTTAGACGTTCGTCTGTCTTTGCCTGAATAGAATGCCCGGCAGTGTTGCATACCGGTCTGCTGAGCGGGTCGTCGGCACAAATATTATTATCATTTCTGGGTCGAGAACCCCCAATAACCCCACCAACACCCCCATACCCGCCCCCAATACCCCCATATACACCTCCTCAAAACACCCCTAATACACCTGAAACAGTTTTCACCTTTGGCAGTAGCCGATGCAGATCCCAGGGGTCGATCCCTTGACCTCAGCTTACCTGTGTACAGTATCTGCACAGTTCCCTGGAGTTGAACCCGTGACCTGCACGATAGCCAGTGGTAAGAAGGTCGCCGTAGGTTGTAGGCTGTAGGGAGATTCGAACTGTAGACCTGTAAGGTAGGAGTCCAAGTAGAGTCCAGAGGCCTAGCTTTAGTCCTTCTAGAAGGTCGGCAAGTGGTCAAGTGGT